TGGAAACACAAAATTTTTATAGCAAATTCGTATAAAAACTTTTGTTTTCCCAATATTATTTTCCATTTATTTATTTTTTTTTTTAAATTTTCTGCATTTTCTTATTTTTCACAGTTTTTTTTTTACATTATTCCTCGTTATTCCTTCCTATATGTTTATTTTATGGTTTCCAGCGTCTGTGCAAATTCGAGTGTATAAAGTGTATTTGCTCCATTTTGCGATATTTATCTAAAAGATTTGTGATATTTCCGGCAATTTACGAAAAATATGTGACGACATATTTTAACTATAATTTTCAATTTTCCTATTTGTTTATTTCTTTTCTTATCTTTTTTATAATTTTAAAATTCATTTTATTCTTTTATTTTTATTTTATATTTTATATCTTTCTAAAATGGTAAAAATTTAGTACCTTTCATTTTTCGCCTTCTTGCATAAATTGCTTGAGTTTGAATATCTCGAACTATTGACTTGATTGAATGCAATTTCAAATGCAGTTGCCATATCACGTAGTTTATGTTAGAGAAAAAAGAAAAAAAATGAAAGTAGAACTATTTATTGTAGAAAGTACAGTTGCATACATAAAATTATATTACTAACGTGTAACGAATGTACATAGAATTTGAATTGTGTGACAATGCCATGCTAGGGTAAAAAATTACAGCAAAGTATGACTTTTATAACAAAATTTAGAAATGAACAATGAAATTGTTAAAACTGAGTTTTAATCAAAGATTTTTTAATTCAATCTTTAAATTTTAAAAATCTATTATGTAAATCTTTTTCGTTTAGAGTCTTCTGATCGAATCCCGCACTATGAAAGATCACCCAAATACTTCAAACGTTTGACGTAATTAGTATGTAAAGATCGGGACCTTCTTTTAAATACTTGGTTACTTATAGAGAACTACAATTTCCAACGGTTTTCTGACACTCTTCCATCCAGGGTCGCATGAGTGTAGGTTATACCAGTGATTCTTGAAATTTACCTAAGCCGATTGCGCACATATTGAAATAATAACTAAATACACTTAATACATAAATATGTATATATAAATATATATATAAATATTTATATAATATTATATAAAATATCATAAATAAAGTATATAAATATAATAAATGTTCATTAGGATAATATAAATAAATACTACTAACGACTATTCTGTTGTACTTTATAAATTTGTAACGCTTGAACATTGTCAAAATTGACCTTTAAAGGTATTGATTTCTGTACATAAGAATAAAGAAAAGGCTCTGTTCTTGTTAGCTTAGTCCAATACTACAAACTGTGTTAACAACTATAAAAAACTATGTCTTTTTAGCATTTATGTATTCTTGCATGCATGACAAATATC